AAAGATCTGCCTGCCTTAAAATATTTTCCCCTCTAGGCTGCCTTTGAGATCTAACATTATCTACAGATTTTATACCAAAATCAATGAATGTGTTAGTAAGTAACATACCAGGATCATTTTTTATTACATAAATCGTGAATATTCATTATTCATTCAGGGACTAACCAGGTCAAGAAGAAATGGGACACAGGTCAGAGATACTTCAAAAGGTTGAAGATGTATGACGTAATGAGAGGTTGTATGTTATTGTTAAGTGCAATCGAGTCAATTCCGACCCATAGTGACCCTGAATAAGGATTCCAAGGAGCAGCTGGTGAGCTCGAACCACTGACCTTGTAGTTTAAATGACTTTGCAGTCTGACGCTTTAGCCCACAGCACCACACCAGGAATCCGAGAGGTTGTATGTTGTTGTTGTTAGGTGCCATCGAGTAGGTACCGACACATAGTGACCTTATACACAGCAGAACAAAAAACTGCCCGATCCTGGGCCAACCTCACTACTGTTGCCATGTTTTAATCCATCGATGCTGCCACTTGGCCAATCCATCTCGTTGGGGATCTTCCTCTTTTTCTCTGGCCCTTCAAACATGATATCCTTCTCCAGTGACTGGTCCCTCCTGACAATATGTCCAAAGTATGAGAGACGAAGTTTAGCCATCTTCGCCTCCAGGGAGCATTCTGGCGGCACTTCTTCCAAAATGGGTCTATCGGTTCTTTTGGTAGCCATGACACTTTCAGTATTCTCCTCCAACACCATAATTCAAAAGCATCCATTCTTCTACACTCTTCCTTATTCACTGTCCAACTTTCACATGTATATGAGGTTATTGAAAATACCATGGCTTGGGTCAGACGCATCTTAGTCCTTAAACTGACATCTTTGCTCTTCAACACTTTCAAAAGGTCTTGTGCAGCAGATTTGCCTAATGCAATACATCATTTGATTTCTTGACTGCTGCCTCCATGAGTGTTGACAGTTGATTCAAGAAGAATGAAGTCCTTGACAACTTCAATCTTTTCTCCATAGATAAGAATGTTGTTTATTGGTCCAGTGGTGAGGATTTTTGTTTTCTTTACATTGACATATAATCCATACCGAAGGCTGTGCTCTTTAATCTTCATCAGTAAATGTTTTAAGTCTTCTTCACTTTGAGCAAGCAAGGTTGTATCATCTGCATATCACAGGCTGTTAATGAGTCTTTCTCCAATCCTGATGCCACGTTTTTCTTCATAGAACCCAGCTTCTGGATTATTTGCTCAGCATACAGGTTGAATAAGTATGGTGAAAGAATACAACCTTGTTGCACACCTTTTCTAATTTTAAACTATTCAGTGTTCCATGTTCTGTTCAAACAACAGCTTCTTGGTCCAGGTACAGATTCCTCATGAGCACAATGAAGTGTTCCGAATACTCATACTTCTCAATGTTGTCCATAGCTTGTCATGATCCACACAATCAAAAGCCTTTGCATATTCAATAAAGCACAGGTTACCATCTTTCTGATATTCTCTGCTTTCAGCCAAGATCCATTGCCCATCAACAATGATATCCCTCATTCCATGGCCTCTTCTGTATCCCGCTTGAACCTCTGGAAGTTCTCTGTCAATTTATGTTTGTAGCCATATCTGTATTACCTTTAGCAAAACTTTGCTCACATGGGATATCAAAGATAGTGTCCAATGATTTTTGCATTCTATTAGGTCTTTCTTTGGAATGGGCACAAATATGAATCTCTTCCAATCAGTTGGCCAGATCGTTGTCTTCCAAATTTCTTGGCATAGATGAATGAGTGCCTCCTATGCTGCCTCACTTTCTTGAAAGATTTCAAGTTTTATTCCATCAATTCCTGGTGGCTTGTTCTTTGCCAATTCCTTCAATGCATCTTGGACTTACTCCTTCAGTATCATTGACTCTTGATCATATGCTACCTCTTGAAACTGTTGACCATTAACCATTTCCTTTTGGTACAGTGACTCTGTGTATTCCTTCCATCTTCTCTTGATTCTTTCTGCATCATTCAATAATTTGCCCAGAGAATCTTTCAATAATGAAAGTTGAGGCTTGAGTTTTTTCTTCAGTTCCCCCAAATTGAGAAATGCTGAGCATGTTCTTCCTTTTTGGTTTCCTGATTCCAGATCTTTGCACATTTTGTTGTAATATTTGGCTTTATCTTCTTGAGCTAATCTTTGAATTTTTCTGTTCAGCTCTTGGACCTCTTTATTTCTTCCATTTGCTTTAGCATCTCTATGCTGGAGAGCAAGTTTCAGTACCTCTTCTGACATCCATTTTGACCTTTTCCTTCTTTCTTGTCTTCTCAATGCTTTTTGCTTTCTTCCGGTATGATGTTCTTGATGTCATCCCACAACTCTTCTGGTCTTCAGTCTTTAGTGTTTAATGTATCAAATATGTTCTTCAGATGATCTCTAAATTCAGGTGGGATATATTCAAGGTCATATTTTGGCTCTTGTGGATTTGTTTGCATTTTCTTCAGCTTCAGTTTTAATTTGCATATGAGTAATTAATGGTCTGTTCCACAGTCTGCCCCTGGCCTTGTTTTCACTGATGATATGGAGCTTTTCCAAAATCTCTTTCCATAGATGTTGTTGTTGTTGTTGTTAAGTGCCTTAAAGTCGGTTCCGACCCATAGCGACCCTGTACAGGGTTTCCGAGGGTGTAAATCCATGTAGTCAATATTATTTCTATGTATTCCATCTGGTGAGGTCCATGTGTATAGTCGTCTCTTATTGTGTCTAGAGAAGGTATTTGAAATAAACAAATCATTCATTTTGCAGAATTCTTTCATGCGTTCTCCAGCATCATTTCTATCACCAAGGCCTGCTTCAAGAGTTGGCCTACAATTGGAGTTGTAGGATGCACATGAGAAAGTAACATAGCACTTTAATTTTTAGATAAATCCAAATTTTGCGTGTTAGCTCTTTTGAGGCACTTTGTTCTATCTTACACATAAAAGACATAAGATGGCTGTGTTGTTGTTGTTAGGTGCTATTAAGTTGGTACTGACTCATAGCAACCTTATGCACAACAGAACAAAACACTACCCGATCCTGAGCCAACTTCACTGCTGTTGCCATGCTTGAGTTCATCAATGCTGCAGTCACTGGAGAAGATGGCTGTGTAGACATCAAGAATTTTGTACTTTTTGTGTTATAGAAGTCATATTTTTTGTGTAACACTTGTTAATCTACCAAATAAGTATTGAAACTGAAAAATGAATCCTCATTGTAAAGTGCTGTGTAAATGAAAATTCTTTATTTCCCTTCACTTTTTATTGTTAATTGAGTCAAGGTTTACAGAGCAGATCATCAGTTTTGCATTCAACAAATCATACATACTTTCATCTCATTAATTTCAACCCCCTCAATGTGGCATCATCACTCCCACTTCCTCACTGTGTTTCTTATTTCCATTCCTCCTGGTTTCTCCACCCTTTTGAACTTTGTCCTTGGGTAAGTACTGCCCTTTTGATCTCAAATAGTTGGATTGACCTTGCTATGCCATGCATTCCTCACTACTGTGTCTGTTCCCTCTATAGGCCTATCTGTTGCTTGGCTGAAAATTGAGTCACAGGGGGTATGTTCACCTCCAGACCTGAAGAATAATTAAGTGTAATAGTCTCGAGGGTTTCATCTGTCTATCCAACCAGTTAACTTTGTCATCTTTATGAATTTTAATTTTGTTCCACATTTTCTCTGGAGCAGTTGGTAGTGGTAGTTGGGCAAATTCTTTTTACTGTGATTCTCGAACTTAAATATAAATGAAGACACAATCTTTTTTTTTCTGATAATTAATTGCCCTTGACATTTTGCCACTGACTTACTTTAAAAAATAATCAAGTCCAAACATTGCATTATTGAATCAGGTTTCACTGCCTTTTAAATCAATGAGGTTAGAAATAAGGATAAAACATTAGGACACTTGACAGAGATCACTTTTAGACATACTTCCATTTCTGATCTATCTAACCTTGATCCATTTATTTTGTTTACGTGTATAGAGAGTATTGTTTTATTAACAAATTTCTCTATCCTTCATCAAAAAATAAAAGTAATCACTCTATACTTTAGCATATTTACATTTATGTATGTTCTATCACACTCAGTGGAGTCCTGGTGTGGCACTGTGAGCTAATGTGTCAAACTGTAAAGTCGTTTGAACTGCAAGGTCAGTGGTTCAAGTTTACCAGTTGCTCCTTGGAAACCCTATACAGGTCACTATGGGTCGGAATGACTTGACAGCACTTAACAACAACAACAATCATTCTCAGTAGAGAAAGGAACAAAGACTTCAAAAAAATTTTTAAGTAAAACAAAGACTTCAAAAAAAAATTTAAAGCATAAGTCCAGTGTTTATCTAGCTTTAGATTTTAAAAAGCAATTATTATAATTTTATTACTTTTTTTTGTAATTATTCATTTAGAGCATTTGACCTTTCATAAATTAAGCATAACAAACAATGAAAGAATATCCTTTAGACGGAGACCAAAACAAAACCTTTAAAAAAAAGAATTTGTATCTTGGCTTTCTAATCACGTTATGCTAGAGGGCCTTAATATTAAAGAACCATCTTATAACTAGTAATTTAATAACTCATTGTTAATGTCTCTAAACAAAAGTTTTTAATCTCTTCTTACAGTCTGGGAAGAGATTCTCCTGGTTTAAATATATTTTGGAAATTTATTACAACCATTAAATTGAAAATGTCTGATATTTTCAATTACTTAAAACATTTATGATTTTAAGCTCCCAGCAGAAGTCTGCAGCTGAAGGGAAAAAAAAAAAAAAAAGATTATGATCTGCTAGCTAGAAGGACACTTATGTAAGAAATTTGACACTGGTCATTGCTTTGAAAGTAGGAAGTTTTATAATTTAAACTCAAGGCTTTAAGGAATCTTCATTGAGTACTTTCCCCCCTCACAGGAGATAAATGACTGATGAATGAAATTCAAGCATGTTCACAGCTTTTCTCTTTCTGTTACAGCCCAGAAGATGGTGAGATACATCCAGAAATCTGTCGGCTTTACATCCAGCTGCAGTGCTGCTTAGAAATGTACACAACAGAGATGCTGAAATCCATATGTCTTCTGGGGTCTCTTCAGTTGCACCGAAAAGGTATGCCATATAATACATTGCATAAACACTGAGGAAATCTTTTAGAGAGTGCCTATATAGCGTAGTGGTTACGAATCGGGCTGCGAACCTTAAGGTCAGCGGTTCGAAAATACCAGCCGCTCCGCTGGAGAAAGATGAGGCTTTCTACTCCCGTAAAAATTTACACCCTCGGAAACCCTGTACAGGGTCGCTATGGGTCGGAACCGACTCGATGGCACTTAACAACGACAACAATATAGACTGTATTTCTATCTATATACTATTTGAATGTTCAAGAAGTGTTTGACATATGAATTAATAAGTGAAGCCTATGTTAGTACTAAGTGCCTAAGAACACTGATCATTTTAAACAGAAATTGTAGTAGAAACAGTTGTTGCATTTTTATTTTACCATCTATAGACATGGCTTTGGTTAGAAACAGCAAATATAAAATTATCTTGCTGGCATAGGAAATGCAATCCAAGAATGCTGTTATTTGCCTAAATGAATTCATTTGCAAAGAGACAAATTATATATTGTGTCCCAAAGATTTAAATGGACAACTCAGCGAACAATAGAGAAACATATCAGTAATAAACAATCCTATTCAAACTGGCTAAATGTATATATGTTTCTGATTGGACCAGGTCAGATTAGGCCCACCCCTGAATTTAATTACTGTAGTCCCCAAGCCAAACCCACTGTCATTGAGTCAATTCTGACTCGCTTGTATAGGATTTCCGAGACTTTAAATCTCTATAGGGGGTCCTGATGTGGTGCTTTGGGTTCATGTACTGGACTGCCAAGTTGGCTTGAACCACACGGTCAGTGGTTCAAACTTACCAGCTGCTTCTCAGAAACTGTATACAGGGCCGCTACGAGTCGGAACTGATTCAATGGCACTCAACACAACAACAACAACAAATCTCTATGGGAGTATAAAACCCCATTTTTTCTTCTGAGGAGCAGCTAGTAGGTTTGAACTGTATAGTCAGAGGGATAGAATGTTGATTATTTTACAAAATCAAGGCTCTCCCTGAAGCTAGGGGTAGAGTCAACCCCACCTGATCAGGGACTATTACATAATGGGAGAGGGTAGAATGGAATGGATGCCACAGAGGACAGCAAAAGTTTCTATTACTGAAGAACTCAACTTGTTTTTTCTTTGTTAATTCATTGAGCACTTCCTGAAAGCAGAGTTTTTTTTGTACTTGAGCTCAGCAGAACAGGGGCATGCATGGAAGGTAATTTTACCCAGGATTTTAATTCAGGGATACAAAGGTTACTCTGGAATTCTCAGGTAAAATGTTGTAGAAAGTGTGGGATTTGACCTGGGTGTAGTGAAGCATAAATTAAGATTCCAAGCCTGCTGCCCTCTCATAGTGACTCTAAGATTCCAAGGCTTTAAATCTTTATAGGAACAGACAACCTCATCTTTCTCCTGGGAGCAGCTGGTGGATTTGAACTGCCAACCTTATGGTTATCAGACCAATGAGTATCCCCCAAAGGAAAAACAAAGACATTTTAAGTGAAGAAGCAGAGATTTGAAATCAAATAGAACATTGAAATTTGGAGGAACTAAATGTTATGATAAATTACTTGTCAAGATCAAATCTTGTGTTCATATCGTACACATAACAAAATTATGTTATGTCATTCCAAAGAGTGGAGAGTATTTTCTCAATAACCAAAAATTCCAAATCCTTGCTGTCAACTTGATTCCAATTCATTGTGACACACTGGGGACAGAGTAGAAATTCCCAGACCGATTCCAAGGCTGTCATCTTCAGGAGAGCAGACGACTGCATGCTTTACTCACAAAGCAGCTGGTTAGCAGCTTAGCTGTTGTGCCACTAGGGCTCCTGATTTTCTCAATATATGAATATTGTTTCTTTTTCTTTTTGCTTTCCTAAGGTTGACCTTTCAACAACTTCCATCTTTCCTTCTGTTATTAATACAAGAGTGTATGTTTAGAGAGATTAGCTCTTTACCACTCCTAATTCCTGATCAAATCATTGAAACCTCATGACAGCTAAGCAGGTTTCTATTGGCCAATTGTCTTTAATTGTATTCTCTTTCTTTCTCTCTCCTTTATGCAAACATACACTTTCTTTCTATCTCATTCATGCATACACACCCATACAAAGTAATTTACCTATCATGTTCAGTCATATTTGAATAGACTGAGTACAGACAGTATTTTCCCCAAGCCTTTATTAACTACACCTGCAGTATATCATGCCTGTGTTGCCACTGGAATCCTCTTGTTTGCTGTTGATGTTTCCTCAACACCAGTGACCTCATTCCCACGCCCTCTCTACTTCCTGGGTTTGCCACCTGGTCTACTTGTACCATCCACTCTCCCATTTTGTCTTTTCACAATTGATTTTTGAAAGGAAAACTCTTTTTGTTGTTGTTGCTAGCTCTCTATTTTAATGCAAAGAAATTCTTTCATCCAGATTGCTTTGTTATCATGTTTGGATTTAAACAACCAAATGCATAAAACATATTACCTCTCAATTAGTCAGTTCATTTAGTCTTCACTGCCTTTTGTCTTCATTGTCAATCTCAATTCTATTTCCTTCCTGCCTTTTCTCTAAGAAGTAATTAACCCCATCCCTGCTCTAGTGTCTAACCTTCTATGCACAACTAGAAAAAGAACATACCTGATAGCATCTTTGATTCTGCCCCATATAGAATTAACTCTCTATTTGGATTACTCTTTTATTCTTCTAGAATCATGATTACTTGAAATACAATCCTTAGAAAATCTGCATCAAAATGAAGCGTGGTTGCTGGGTAAACATGCAGACTCCTTGGTCCTCTCCAGGACCTATTGGGTCAGAATATTTGTGGTCACTCCAGGTGATTCTGAAAGACAAGGAAGATTGAGAATTGCTGCTCTACCCTTTGAAACAAAAATTAACCCCTTTAACTCCTTAAAGAATAAAAATTAAAAGTCCCAATTGCTTACAGGTTGTCATTGCTTTCTACTTTCTGAAGTACTAATTTTATTTTATGTTGTCTTCTCTCTCCCAAGCTGATTAAAAGCAAATACAAAAGCAGTTGTTGCTGTTGTTATGTGCCATAAAAATGAATTCCAACTCATGATTACCCTACAAGACAGAGTTGTTGTTGTTGTTGTTAAGGTGCCATCGAGTTGGCTTCAACTCATAGCGACCTTGAATAGGGTCTTCAAGGAGCAGCTGGTGAATTTAAACCATTGACCTTACAGTTCAAACCGTCTTTTAGGTCTAGTGCTTATCTTACACACCATACCAAGACTCCATAGGACAGAGTGTTGTTGTTAAGTGCCGTCGAGTCGGTACCAACTCATAGCGACCCTGTATAGGGTTTCTGAGGAGTGGCTGGTGTGGAACTGCCAATGCTGTTGTTGTCAGGTGCCATCGAGTTGGTATTGACTCATAGTGACCCTTTGTACAACAGAACGAAACGTTGCCTGATCCTGGGCCAACCTCACTATTGTTGCCACGCTTGAGCCCATTGATGCTGCCACTTGGCCAATCTATCTCACTGGGGGTCTTCCTCTTTTTCTCTCACCCTCCACCTTACCAAACATGATATCCTTCTCCAGTGACTGGTCCCTCCTGACAATATGTCCAAAGTATGAGAGACAAAGTTATACTGGAGCAGATTGTCAGATCTTCCTTGGAGCGGCTGATGGCTCTAATGAGCTATATGATGCCTCATGTGCTATCATATTTCCTTGAATCCTTGATAAAGACTACTAATATTAAGGCAGTGGTTCTCAAATGACCATCCCTGAACTAGCAGCATTAGCACTACCTGAGATTTACTTCAAAATGCAATTTTTTTTCTTGTTCTTCTACATACCAACTCTACTGAGTCAGAAACTCCTCTAAAGTTACTCTTTGTTGCTGGAGGCACAACAATCATTGGGACGCTCCTTTAACTGAACATATTTTTATCTTCTGATCACCATGTACAATCAGTAAACTATGTTGTGGTTGCTAAGTGCTGTCAAGTCAGTTCCAACTCATAGCGGCCCTGTATAGGGTGTCCAAGGAGTGGCTGGTGGGTTTGAACCACCAACCTTGCAGTTCTAACTGAGTTTGTGGTCCATACTTACTCCACAGCACTACACCAGGACTCCCAGAAAACTATACTCTTGTGAAAGTGGGCATATGCCATCACTGCTGTCAAGGCTCTTGGACTTCCAGAAGATGGGTGTTTGAAAAGTACCTGTCTTAAAGTCTCTGTTGCCTTTGTCAAGGAACCAGTAGAGTTAAGGCCATGAGGAGACTTTCTTATTTGTTAGAACTCCTCAAACTAGGAGAAAAGAAAATAGTAATCCCTGAAAAAGTTTAGGGATATTTAATGATGGAGAAGTTGGCAGCAAGGAAAAAGTTATTAAATCAGAGAAAATAAAGTACTGGAAAACATGTTGTTTGTTGTTAGGTGTCGTCCGATTGGTTCTGATCCATAGCGCCCCTATGTACAACAGAATGAAACACTGCCTGGTCTTATGCCAACCTCACAATTGTTGTTATGTTTGAGCACACTGCTGCCACCACTGCATTAATCCATTTCTTTAGGTGTCTTCTTCATTTTCACTGGCCCTCCATATTTTCAAGCATGATGCCCTTCACCAGGCACAGTTTCCTCCAGATAACATGTCTGAAATATAAGAGACAAAGTCTCACCATCCAGGCTTCTAAGGAGCATCCTGGCTACACTTCTTCCAAGATATATTTATTTGTTCTTGTGGCAGTCCAGGTATTTTTCCTACTCTCCTTCAACACCATAATTCAAATAAATAAATTCTTCTATAGTCTTGCTTATTCATTATCCAATTTTCATTTGCATATGAGATGATTAAAAATAACTTGACTTAAGTCAAGCACACCTTTGTCCTCAAACAGACACTCTTTTGAACACTTTAATGAGGTCTTTGGTGGCAGACTTGCCCAAACAATATGCCATTTGATTTTTGACTACTGTTTCCATGAGTGCTGATTGTGAATCCAAGCAAAATGAA